TCAGACAGGCACACTGACCAGCAGGCACGCACACACACAGACTTGGAAAAATCAGCAGGACTGGTGTATACTATCACTTACCTTATGCTGTCATGTAGGCAATCAACTTAGGCTGCTGTGTAGTTCTACCTGTCAAATTCCTGTCTTTGTAGGTAGGCCCTGCACCGTGCTGTCGCTACAATTTCAAACAAAGAACTACAATGTTTAGGGATGCTGTACCCGCTTCCAACAGGTGATGCTCGCCAATAGATTGAGCCTCCCTGTGGCATACTGCACAACCACACGGGCCTGCAGGGCCCGACCAGACGGAAAATAACGGCCCTCCAGGCCCTGTGTCGTTTCAGCCTAAAAGCCTGAAAACGAGGGCCACTTTCAGGCCCTCATAAAGTCGACCTGCCCTGAAACTCAGGCGCCAGACCAGGGTTTAGCACAGGCCATTTTTGGGCCTGTTTCAAGAAAACCTTTGTTTGAACTTCAACGCCAGGGTGTGGCATGTTTCGGCATTGGCAAGAGTAGCCTCCCGGACGGGCCAGCACTATATAGTACTGGCCCGCCCTGCAGGCTGCAGGTAGTTCATAGGGACTTCCCAGGCAGTTCACAGGCACTTCACGTGCGTTCAGGAGGCAGCCTTCAGGACTTGGCTGCAGCACTCTGGAGGAGCGCTGCAGTAGTAGTAGCTAGCGCTAGAGTAGTCTTCAGCGTTGGGCGCTGTTAGGAGGTGAGTAGCATTGGGAGAGAGAGAGAAGGGCGGAGGCCAGGGAGACTTACCTGTGGCACCATAGCTCCAGCTTCGTCTTCGATGTACCTGCAACAAGGCGCCACCTTCACAGGTGAGTACTTGGTACAAGAGGGAGAGAGAGAGAGTTCTTCTTCTTCCTCTTCTAAGTTCACCATCTCTCCCTCACCCTCTCACCACCTGACTTCTCAGTATCTGCAGACTACGAGAGAGAGAGAGATTGGTGACTTTGGGACTTGACGACATTTGGATTCAGACTCGACATTGGGATTGAGACATTGGACGAGGGATTATTTGGGACCTGTACCGAAGACTTGGTGCTGACGACATTCCCATCTCCCCCTCTTCTTCGTCTAATCCCCCTCCTCTTCGTCTGTGTATGTTCGGGACTGGCGCATTTCTTCCTGTGTGAGCGCCAGGTCCCTTCACACCATGCGATGATGATGATGTATGTTTGATCTGCATTGCGACATTGATTGGTCTGATCATTGGTATTTTAGCCTTCAGCTGCACTATCCTGTACCATGTAAGAGAGGTCGGTTCTTGTTCTGGTCGGCACTGTTACGGTATGCAACAGTTTGGTATCGGAGTGGACCTCTCAATCAGAGGATCCGCCCAATCAAGGAGCCAGCTTGTTTGATCGACTGATTGTTGAATGATTGATTGATTGATTGATTGATTGATTGATTGATTGATTGATTGATTGATTGATTGATTGATTGATTGATTGATTGTTTATTAGTGAATCAAGTAGGGCTTCGTCAAATCTCTGCAATTTTTTCTTTTCTTTTTCGCAACTTCGGATATTAGCATTTCGTTTTCCGTTTCACTCTGGGCATATTAGGTGAACTAGGGATGTTGTCATACTCTTTTCGTTTTCCGTTTCACTCTGGGCATATTAGGTGAACTAGGGATGTTGTCATACTCTCGGACTGGATCTATTCTTCTCTGAAAGTGGAACCTCCAGTCTATTTTGCACAAATTTGTTTTTCAAGATCACTTTTTTTTTTTTTTTTTTTTTTTTTTTTTTTTTTTTTTTTTTTTTTTTTTTTTTTTTTTGGATTTCTGCTATTTTGGATTGCTAGCCCAATCTTCGTCTCGCAAGCGCCGAAGGTTAGCGCTAACGCAGTTCAGCGCTCGGGGACTCCCAGCGGCTCTACCGCGACGTTTTGCGCCGGACACGGCGATCACGCCAAACTCATTCAGCATTCGAATTCTGCCCGCACCTGGCAGCGAAGTAGGGAAAGTTCAGCCACGCCCGCGGGCGTGGCGGGAGAGAGCCATAGCCGCCGGAGACTGCCATCATGATATGCGCTSYATTCATCTACACCGGACAAACCCCAAACACCAACTGGACAAGGAGAAGGGGAGCATTCGAAAGGGCRCATAATTCGGTGAGCGAGGCCAAGTCGAGGAGGCGGTGAGCAAAAGGTGACGAGAGGGAAGAAGGGACAAGGGCGAATAATGAGAGAAGTGAAGTGAGGAAGGAGTAGAGCCTGAAAACGACAAGTAAGCTATTTCAGGCAAGTGAAGAGGGAGGGCAACGCGAACATCTTGTGGAATCGTGGGGTCCAGATRAGACAGAAGGCCACAGTGTGCGCCAACGTCCCCAACAAGTCARGGAAGACGACAAGGAGAAGAGAACGGAGGACAGGAGGAAGTAAAGAAGGCGAAGGAAGAGTCRACGAGAGTGACTCAARTAGTTGGAATGCTACTTATCACCATCGGGCGACGCGAATTCTCCACAYTCCCTGAACGACAGGGYTCACAACCTGAATTGGAYCGGRAGACAYGTTCAAGCACAGGCATTTATTTCACCTCCTTCCCCGACACTGTGGATGTAYCTCTCGCCTAAAACACTCTTGGTACCGAACTACTAATCTCACGGCCCCCGCACTAATCTAATCTGGAACACCAACTACCCACCCTCCCATCCGGGGTCYGCCTCAAACCCTTMCCCACCACGTCGTTCCCACCAACACCTCACACCCMGCTTCGACACCACATCCCATTTATACCYCGATCTCACCAAACACCACGTCCCCACCCTAATACGGTCCAAAATCCAACCTGAATCCGTCACATCCACGTTCACGGCTCTACCCACCCCGAAACCCATCCCCCATCTGATCCAGCGCTCTTCATAATCCATTGCCCATCCCACTACCACCTCGACMGACGCACTCTTCAWCCCCAACCCCGCGCCCRCCCCAACTACACCCCCCRATTCCCACGAACACATGAATCAGCCCCGGCTCGCACTTACAACAGCCCGTCCGGACTACAGACCACCACGACTCCACCCCGTCCCCAAATCACGATCCTCCTACGCCCCRCTCCCGYCCCGCGCCCCCCCTCACAGTATTATCTTTACTATTATTGTCATTGTTTAATCATTCTTCGTTATTATTCATTATTCATTRTTATCCATCATTTATTAYTATTCATTTTAACTACTGGATTTARTTATATTGCTTTACATATTAGTGCCCCTATTATTGCTAGCACTGCAACCATCATTATGCTTTCAACATAAAATCGAACTGCCTCGACACCCGGCCAGACCACCGCGTYGCGCATACCCCTGTCCCAGCCTCCTCCCCCGCTCTCGCCCCCACCCCAGCTTCCGTCCCCCTAGTTATCCCCCTTCTCACCACCGCTCCAGACTTCTCCTCCGAGCCCACTGCACTCCCATACCCGCTCTATCTCTCACCCATAGAGGCCGAAAGCCCCTTTTTACCTCCCCACCCCCCGCAACACTCTCGATCCAACGAGGTTCAATATAACCCTACAAAGGCGCTTTACAACTATTGAGATCTCGCCACCCCCGATCCAGCTCCCAACCTGGTCCCGGTATTACCCCTTTATTTCCCCCCATATCTCCTCCCCACTATCTCCCCCCCCGCCACTCTCCCCATCCCCGATCCCRTCCCTGGTCCCGATTCTGAAGCTCACCACAGACTCGAAATCCTCCCTTATTTCGASTCCAGCCCCATCCCTTCTCCAAMCCGTGGCAAAGACAACACTGTACGGAGCTCGCCTCACTTGCATCAGCTCTCACCCTCATTCTCCTACCATCCCTGACCCCCACCTCATCCCCTGTCCCCTCCCCACCTCGATCCTGYTCCYGCTATAGACCACGCYCCTTCYGCCATTTCACAGCCCACTCCAACTCGATTACACCCGCACCCCAACTGCCCCTTCCAATCCAAATAGACAGTCCCCACCTTCAGAACCCACTATCCCCTCTCCCCGCCCCATTCCCCTCATATCCTCACCCCCCGTATCAACTCCCGTATCTTCCCACCCCTACCACTTCGCCGCCCCCGTGACGCTCCCATACCTGCTTTCTCCCAACCCCGGTGATTTCCCACTCCTGTTCCAGATCTCGCAACCACTACTCTTCCCCGTCGCCCACCACACTATCGATCCCGTTCTTGTACCTGACCCCGCTCTTGCCTCCGTTCCAGTCTCCACCCCAGAGCCTAGTCCACTCAGATCCATCCCCTGAATCCCATCGCGAGCTCGGACTACTACTCGAGGGTTGCACCATTCCCAACCCCGTTGACACGCACCAACTCCTGACAAGAGGTCTATAGCTAGAACATCAGCATATCGAACAAAAAGCGTAGACACCCGGGAAAGTACTTTGATCTGAACTTCAGAACAGATTTCGCCTCTCGTTCACCAAAATTAGACTGCCAAAGGGTGTTTTTTTTTTTTTTTTTTTTTTTTTCTCGAAACACTAAGATGGAAGGAATGGGCAAGGAGACTCAAAACTGGCTGGTGGAACAAACCAGAACCCCGCTGGTGAAGACCACCAAATGCATCGATCATGGGGGAAACAACAAAGAAGAGGTTATCTACGAATGCCCGAAAGAGCTGACGTTGAAACAAGAAGAGATCCATCAAAAACACGCTGTGCTCTTCACATTTTCCAAAAAAAGTCAGGAACTCGACAGACAGTCCAAGCTAAAATGGATATGGGAAAAGTTGAAGAGTTTGGAGCCAATCCAGGGGCAGGAACCCAAAGTCTCGTTTCACCCGAGGACGAGAAACGTTATCATGGTGCTGTGCATGGAGGAACAACTGACATCCTTCCTGAAGAACAAATGTTTCACATGTAATTCATCAGTGGTCACTGTGCACCCGTGGAAAAAAGCAGCAAATTTACAGCAAACCCCGTTCAGGTACAGACAGGATCTCATCAAAAGACACTTCTGGATCCAATTTGATGACGTCCCAGAGGGAATGCATGGTAGTGTCAAAGAAAGGGTAAGAATGGAATATGGCCACTTCACACAAACACAYTGGATAGTCTCAACGCCGGATTTCCTCACACCCCATCATAACCAGATGACTGCAGTACTGGAGACAGGAGACAGCCCGATGCCTTTCATACCGGACGAATGGTTCTTTTCGCAGGAGGGTAAAGTAATAAGGATAACAGTGTCTAGCAAAACCAATCCGCTCTGCTTCAAGTGCAGACAGAGAGGCCATCTGGGCACGGACACCAACTGCCCGAAAACAAGGGAGAATGCCAAACCGAAGACCCTCAAAACTGCAAACCTGCAGGAAGTGCCGAATAAGCAGGGTTACTGGTTTGTTCCAGAAGCCCAATATGCAGGCTGGGTCTTCAATGACAACCTCGATTCACCGGACTGGGTGTGGACCATAGCGGGCGAACCAACCCCCAGGCCAGAAGTTTACCCACCGTACGACAGCAAGTGGCAAGCACTGAAAACAGAAAAAACGGCTCCCAAGAGCTTTACCAGGGACCCAATCATCAATGTCGAAGCCCTCAAACAGGAAATTTGGGAAAAAGACCTCTGTGCTGATCTGCAAACAATCCAGGAAACAAAAGAAAGAGAGTGGGTAGAAGCTGTCAAGAGACACCAGGAGGAGGAAAAATCAAAAGGGGAACTCCCCAAACAGAGAACATACCGCAGAAAGGGAAAGAGAGGACAACAAAGGTCTGAGGAGGAACAAACAGGGGGCAAGGAAGGGATGGATGAGACTATGGATGAAGATGAGAAGGCTGCAGACCAGGGGGAACCCGGGGGGGGAGCACGTCCTAGTGTGGGGGCAAAGAGAAAACACACAGATGGGCAAAGGGACAGAGAAGACTCGGTTGAGGATCATGGGCAATCTGGCGAAGACTCTTACCCATGGTCTGACCGGCAGGAAAAGGAACTGTTTGACTACATCCAGAGCTATGAGAAGGTGAGACAAGAAAAATTTGAACTGCAGCTAATTCTACACAAGGAAGAACAAAAGAACAAGCTGAAAACAACAGCTCCGAACACATCCCAACTGATCCCACTATCAGAGACCCATTCGCGCCTCTGGAGAGGGAAGAAGAACTGTCAGCATTCTTGGCGGAAAAATACTGTGAATCCAAAGAAGACCAAATCATGGAAGCAGCAGAGAAAGGAGGGAACGAAAAGGCTGAAAAGACTGGGAAGAAACAAAGCACGGGGGAAGAAACAAAGCACGGGGGGGAATCTGCAGAAGTACAAACCTTCACAAAATTTGCAGGAGCAGACGGACCAGTCTGAGAAAGAGAAGAGGGAGGGGAAAGAGCTCCTAAGCAAGGGCCTAACAAGGGAAATGCAGCTGGGCATCCAAGCGGAAGCTTTATGTGCTCAAAACATGAGACTGACTGATCTGAACAGAGAGATTGCGCTGCGCACAGTGACAGTCCAGGACCTGCAGCACAAAGAACACGAGACCTTTTGGGAAAGAGCCAAAAAGGAGGCAAGCACGCTCCTTCCATCACGGGCAATCATCCCAATACAATGGGACCCGCTAGAGGAGCAATGGAAAGTGGCAGTGCAAGAGAATCTCTYTGTWCTCASATGGCAATTAGGCCAAAWAAAGGAGGATGTAYTGAAGAAAGTTACCAAAGGGAAAGCAGCAAGCATCACAGGCCTGGTAGGCAAAACGAGACAGGTGGGCCAACAGAAACAGATGGACATTACAGGCAATGTTGAAGGGAGGGAACAGGATCAATATGATGCCAGACCGCTGCTAATAGTCCTAGAGCAAGAGGCAAACCTGGTGGACGAGCTGAAATGGAGACCATGGTGGTGGGTGGCCTCACTACCTGTAATAGCACTAGGCAACGAGACTACGCTAACGCAGAATGCAGCAGCATGGGCCGCCTTGCTGGAATCAGAGGTACTGGAGCAGAATGAGGATGATCTCCCAGCACAGTTAGTCCCGCACGAGGAAGCGTCGGAGTCTAGCACCCAGACCTGAACCARAATACTAAAWCCCCAATGAAACTGCACGRAGGTAARCCATGAAGGAAACAAGAGGTGACTTGGTGATCCAATCCTGGAATATAAGGGGGCTAGCCACAATCCTGTCAAACCCAGGGAAGTGGCACTGTTTCCTAAACACAATAGGAYGGAATGGACCCAACCCTCCAGACATGGTTTGCCTCCAAGAAACCCACTTAACCAACTCACCTGAACACGAGACAATAGAGAAAGAAATATTGAGAAGACTAAAAGGGTGCGCACTAGCAGTATCAGCGCGTAGCCCTCATGCAGCCTCAGCAGCAGTCCTCRTCTTAATCCACAACCGACTGGTGGAATCACAGCAAACCAAAATCTCTTCTTCAGCAGTAGACCAAGTCAGTGGAAGATGGGCAAAGGTGGACCTAGCACATATAGGAGAAGACATCACAATAATGAGTCTGTATGCTCCTAATAATACGAGAGAGAGAATCGAGTTTTTTGAAGGAGTAAGAGACCTAATCCCTCCCCATAAACACACGATCCTGGTGGGGGACTGGAACACGRCACAKGACCCCCAGCTAGATAAAATCTCATGGGMAGAGGACTACACACAAGACCCAGCCAGGGGAACTTTGACACAACTAATAACAGAAAAGAACCTCAAGGACCCCTACAGATCCTGCTACCCGGGGAAAAAGGATTACACCTGCATCAGGAAAACAAGCCTAGGCAAAACGTCCTTTTCAAGAATAGACTTCTGCCTCATAACTGAGACGTTAGAGGGAGCGGTCCTAGATTGCACAATAGGCAGGCTTCCACACTACATAGGCTTCGACCACAACCCAATAAAACTAAACATGGCCTTCTCGCTAGATAACGTACCAGGGAGGAGCTTCTTTAAACTGAACACGTCCCTATTGAACCTAGAAAACTTTAAACAGGAATTCAAACATAAATGGGATGAGATAAAGGAGAACTTAAGGAAAGGAGAACTCAATAGGGACTTTCCGGCAGCTGTTCGAAAATTGAGTCAATGGGCAAGCAAATTCTCCAGGGGAGAAGCTAATAGAAGAAAAGCAAGACAGCAAAGCCTAGAGGCCATGGTGGAAATAGCCAAGTTTAACCTCATCGCTAACCCAAGGGCGGAGCTATATGAACAGCTATTAGAAGAGGCAAGGGCTGAATTGGAACAATGGGCAGATTGGAGAAGACAAGGTCTGGCGATAAGAGCCATAATAAAAGACTGGGAAAGTAATGAAAGTATGACAAAATTCTTCTTCCAAAGAATCAAGACAAACCAAAGGAATAGCAGAATTCTTGCATTGAAAAACGGGTGGGGTACAACCCAGACGGATCAGACAGGTTTATTAAAGGTAGCATCAGACTTTTACCAGGACCTCTATTTGTCCAAAACCTTCCTCGAAGACCAAGGCAAGGTCCAGAGAGCAAGAGAGAAATTCCTGAAACATCTAGACAAATGCCTCAATCAAGAGGCAATAAACCTGCTGGAAAAAGACATCACCAAGTCAGAACTATTTGAAGCACTCCAGAGCATGCAACCTAACAAAACCCCAGGTGAAGATGGGCTCCCAAAGGAATTCTGGCAAAGCAACTGGCACCTGCTGGGCGAAACAGTTACAAAATTCTTCTAAGAGTCATTCAAGAGCGGGTCGCTAGGAGAAGAACTTAGCACAGGGATCGTCACTCTCCTATACAAGAAGGGAGACAGAGAAGATATAAGAAACTACAGACCCATAAYGCTACTACCGGTGGTTTACAAAATACTAGCCAAAACTCTGGCCAATAGAATAAGAAACATAACGGACAAATGCTTCCACATCGACCAAACAGGATTTATACCAGGGAGATACATTTTAGACAATGTAGTAACACTAAACAAAGCAACAAAAATCATAAAGGACAAAAAGCTTCAGGCAGCCATTCTTTTCTTTGACTTCGAAAAGACCTATGATAAAGTAAATTGGGACTTTCTGCAGCAAAGCATGGAGAAAATGGGAGTGGGCCCCAACTTCAGGAGATGGGTAAGAGTGTTCTATGGAGACGCCAGAGGGATGGTTCAGGTTAACGGGCACTTATCCGAAAAATATAAAATGACCAGATCAGTCAGACAAGGTGACCCGTTAGCAGCTCCCATCTTCCTATTCGTCATGGAAGCAATTGCTGCCTTCCTATGCAGGGATCCATTAATAGAAAGACTAACTGTACAACAAGATGGCAGACAGCTACATATCCCAACGGTGATGCTTTTCGCCGACGACTTGACGGAACTTATCAGAGCTTCAGACTCATCGTTCCTAGCCCTCACAAGGGCAATGCAAGCCTTCCAACTGGCCTCAGAAATGAAGATCAACTGGAAAAAGACAGTAGGTKGGTGGTTGGCTCCYTCACAACCCCCCCTCCCAACCCAAGATACCCAAGGCTTGCAATGGTTAGACACACAACAACCGATGCGCTTCCTGGGAATTCAGGTGTCAGCAGAAGGGACCAGCATTGAGTCAGGAACCAGCCTGCTTATCAAAATGACAAACAAGTTAGCTGGCTGGCAGGCACAAAACGTATCAATGTTGGGAAGAGTTTTGGTTATCAACACATC